AGTCCTCTTTAGTGGTTAACTCTGAGAGTAATGTTAGACCACATGTTGTAAGTAGCAAAAACTGAAATAGAAATTCCTGTTTTTCATACTAGTATTAATTGTTTATGCAGAAAATTTTAAAACATTCCAGGATCTGTTTGCTAAAGTGGGTGAGAAGTTGATCCAAGTTGTAAACTTTAAAATAACATGATATTGGGGAAAAAAGAGATGAAAATACTTAGCACTAAAGTATTGGGTCATTTTCCTAGGTGTGTACTTGTAGTACCTAGGTAAATAGCATATTCTGACAATGTCTGGAACATTTTCCATTATCAGAGCAACTTCTTTGGGTCATAATATTTGCCTTGTGATATTTATATTTTCAGAGAAATAAATTGCCAGTGCTTTTCTGTTAACTAAGTGGTGAACCAAAACAGAAATCCTTACTTCTTATATGAGTTAAATGATGGGTTGTTGAACTTGTGTGACTCTTAGACCACAATAAGCAAACCCTTATGTAAGTGTGAAGATAAAACCAGGAAATCATTGTTACTTTAAACAGCACCAGCTTTATCAGGCTTGCCACCTTTGGACAAATGGATAGAAGGTGAATGACTGAACATTCAGCATTATTCAGTAGACCTGTTGGCCTAGCAAGTTACACATTGTGCTGTGCTTTTAAAAAGGAACTGTAAAAATAAACTTTACATTTGTGTGTGGATCTTTGTTTTTATAAACATTGGTGTTTAAATGGTGCCTATTGTATAGTAACTACATGAGACATTTTTATATGGACTTTAAGTGTAGCATGGAATCAGAGAGACCTTCTTCTTTACTGGATTTTTCTAGGTTAGTGACTTTGTTTTTTTCTAGTAGTAAGTCAAATTTGAGACCTGGAATCAGTGTAAAATTTTGTAAGAATACACCTACAGTAACCTTCACTTGGCTTGAATAATAGTGCATGCAGGTGTTTATCTCATTAGGACTTAGCATGTTGTGCTTCTCTAAATATTTGGAGTGGTGAAACAGTTTCTAAGGCTACAGAAGGGAATTTTGACATACTCTTTTCAGAAATTGGTCTTACATTCAAATTTTCTTTTCCAGCTTATTTTGGCCTCTACCTTTAGTCTTAAAAATTAGTCTTTATGATTGTTTGCCTTAGGTTGTTACTGGGCCCTCACATTGGGTTAGTGGCAGGTAGACTGACAAACTGCATGACATTTTGAAGATTCTGGGTGGAATTTCTTTTTGCTTTAAGCCCTGTGGGAGGCAACTGAAAATAGACTGCAATCTTCTACAGTATTTACATTTTTACTTCTGTTATCTTTTAGGCACTCAGGGAGTTGCCCCTGGTCCTGTAATTGGGCTCCAGGCACCATCTACTGGTCTTCTTGGTGCCCGACCTGGCCTCATCCCGCTTCAGCGCCCTCCAGGAATGCCTCCACCTCACTTGCAGCGATTCCCTTTGATGCCACCTCGACCCATGCCGCCGCACATGATGCACAGAGGTCCACCACCGGGTCCAGGGGGCTTTGCAATGCCTCCACCTCATGGAATGAAAGGTCCCTTCCCACCGCATGGCCCCTTTGTTCGGCCTGGTGGGATGCCAGGGCTCGGGGGCCCAGGGCCAGGCCCGGGGGGTCCTGAAGACAGAGATGGGAGACAGCAACCACCACAGCAGCAGCAACAACAGCAGCAACAGCCGCCCCCACCACAGCCACAACAGCAGCAGCCGCCACCGTCACAACAGCCTCCACCAACCCAGCAGCAGCCACAACAGTTTAGAAATGATAACAGGCAGCAGTTCAATTCAGGTAGAGACCAAGAAAGATTTGGAAGAAGATCTTTTGGAAATAGGGTGGAAAATGACCGGGAACGGTATGGGAACCGTAATGATGATAGAGATAATAGTAATCGTGAAAGGAGAGAGTGGGGAAGAAGGAGCCCTGACCGGGACAGGCACAGAGACTTGGAAGAGAGGAATAGACGCTCTAGTGGGCATCGAGACAGAGAGAGAGATTCTAGAGATAGAGAGTCTCGTAGAGAAAAGGAAGAAAACCGAGGAAAGGAAAAGCCTGAGGTGACAGACAGGGCAGGTGGTAACAAAACCCTTGAACCTCCCATTAGCCAAGTGGGAAACGTAGACACTGTTTCAGAACTTGATAAGGGGGAGTCTGAGGCCACAGTTGTAAAACCTTCTGGAGAGTTACCTGCTGAGGCTACCTCATCCATTGAACCTGAAAAGGATTCTGGCTCAGCAGCAGAGGCTCCTCGTTAGAGACTGGAATTTGTCAAAATGTGACAGTGACACTTCCTGGAGTGTAGAGCTTGAGGTGTACAGATGCTGTATTATATTTGCTCCTGCTATATCACAGCCCCGCGGTAGTTGGTGGGGAATTGTAAGCAATTTGATTGCTTCCCTTCTATTTAAAAATAGCCACAAAATAACAAAAAATACTGAAAATATGAATAAATATTACCCTTTTTGCTGTAACTTTTTAAAAGTTTTGACTTTAAAAAGTTTACAAATCGTAATTAGAAGTGCTCTCTATTTTTTTTTTTTAATTTAAGACAAGGTAACGGTGAAAGCTCCTCAAAACAATAGGGATGTTTTTAATAAACTCTATTTTCGTAACAAACTTTAATGTGTGCTATTCTTCCTACACTGCATTAAGGTGGAAAAGGATTGTTCACCATCAAAGTTTGAGCTGTTGATACTGTATTGGAGTCTAAATTAGACTTATTTGATGCAAAATAGACATTTTTATGTAGTTACTTTGAAACACTTTCATATGTAACACGTTTGATTTTTAGCATTTTAGTCATAAGGTAAAGGTTAGTTGTTTAAATGTTAACTGAGAAGTTTGCAATTCAATTAAGGTCTTTTTCTTTTGACTTTGTGGTAAATGTTGCCCTAATTTGTAAAGAGATTTTGCTGGAGGGGAATTAGATCCCAGTGTTATAGGTTGTACTGCAAATTATGTGGTTGCCTGGGTATTATTTAGAAGGTTGCATGTTTTTTAAAAAAAAACATCCCAGTAAGCTTTTTAAAACAGAAGACAGCAAGGTTAACATTTGCAACCAAAAAGCTTTTTGTCTTACATGTTTAAAGACTTCAGTGCAACCTTTGTTTCCTATAAACTGTGTCTGTTTTCTTTACTATTTTTTAAAAACTCTCCTGCTGGGAAGAGGTAGACTGAACTTCTTGCCACATAGAAAGTACTTTATCTCTTTTGCTTAAAATTGTTGGGTTAACTAGGAAAAATACTTGGTTATCACATGAAGACACCCAAAGCCAAATCAAGCCTGTATCTGAAATACTGCAGAAAAGCCGTTAACATAAAACGGCTTACCTGGTGCCAAGACCTGATATTACATTGTCCAATTATCTATGGCCTTGTTGGAATTTTTCTTAAATTACATTCTTATACTGTCCTAGTTTCGGTGTCCTGAGCAGTTAACTTTTTGTTTGCCTTCCCCTGGCGAAGTTGCTTTGTTAACTTTGGTTTTTAAATAATACTCTATAATAAGACCTTTGTTTTTGACAGGGAGAACATATCTAGAGTAATGTTCTTGTATTCCTGCCTTTAGAAAATAAGAGATTCCAGTTTCATATTTGTCGATGTAAGTTCTAAAACTTGTCCTTAAGTTTTACGTTGGCACACTGAGAAGTTTAAAAAGTCCTAACTGAAACCTTCTGAAAAGGTTTATCTGGATTATTCAGCATCCAGATTTCAAGGACTTACAGCCTTTATTTCCAATTGAAAGTATTGAGACTGCCCTATATACACATGAAAAAAAACCCAAAATACTAACTGGTAGTGTGATTACACTTGAGGCTTTAAAAGATCCCAAGTGAGTCCCTGTACTTGAGTTATCCCACACAGGCAACAAGCGGTCATACATTAGTGAAGATCTAACTTTTTAAATTCTCTACCTGAATGGTCATTTTAGCCACTTACTGTGAGCATATTGGTCTTTATCAGTTTTAAAGCGTTGAAAACACCACAAACAGTCTTTTTCCAATTTAGTATTCCTCTCCTAATTGAACTACATTTGAGAAAGTACATGATATATGAATGAACAATTGGAACTGTAGCTTATTCTTAGTTTCTCCATCAGAAATAGTATTGTACAATTTTCAATTGAATACACAACTGTTACCCAGATAGTCAAACCTGAGTTACACTAACATTTCATTTAAAAGCTTTCTCTCACAGGTACATACACATTTACATTAAGAGAAAGAGACTTGATTTTACTAATTAGGTGTATAAATTCCTGTAATACTTAAATGGCCAGAACCCACATCAGACATTTCCTTGGTTCCATCTTCCGATGCTGTAGATTTATTTAAAGGGCTGGTCTGTAAGTAGACTGCCAACCTCTACTTTTGCAGGTAGAGTATGTGCCATTCTGGCAGGCAGATGAGTTAATTTTAGCTAACAGGCTATAATTTGCCTCTTTGTAAGTTCACTAAAAGTTACCTTAGTGAACTTTAGCTTATTTAACTTAGTGGCTCTTTTAAACCATAACATCTACTTTTAAAAATAAATGGTACTTCATGAACCAAAATTCTAAGTGACTAAGAGAAATTAACCTAAAGCTGTCTTAAGTTCAAAGTTTGGATTAGTTCTGGCTAAAAGCTGCTAAAAATGTATACATTTTGATGGTCCCACATAAAACTTTCAAAATACACTACAACAGTTATGAAACAGTTAATATTACTAAATCTGTTCCATTCAAGCTCTATACAAATGAATATCAGAGCTAATGCAGAATTTCAATTTGGACACTTTAATAGGTGCCGAAATAAGTGCCACGCAGGTTATTTATTCAAAGGCTTGAATGAGAACTGAAGAGATTCAGACAAGTTTAATAACCATCTGTGATTAGATCTGGCAAAATATGGAGATCACTGAAACAGACAATTGAAAATAAGTTTTATAAAACTATACAAATCTTCCAAGTAAGTCAGTTCTCATTACAGGTACTTAAAGCAATTAAAAAAAGTCACACAATTACACTTTTAAGATTACAGTGTTTAATGTTTATCAAGTTACATTCTACAACTAAGATAACAGATGAGTTGCTAGGACTCAGACCACATCCTGGGGAATGTTTATTGGGCGATCCCAATCACACCACAAGCCAACCGACTTCCAGCATTTCCCGTCTTTGTACTTTCTTCATTTCCACCTTTGCCCAAGTCATCTGGTTTTTCATGGACCTTTAAAAAATTTTAAGAACATAACTTTCAGCTATCAAGTAATTACCACCTCTTACAATACTCAAAAGATTTTTAAGAACCTCATAATATTAGAAAAATAACATGTTAAAATAATCCTACTAGTACGGAAATACTACTGCATTTAATCTAGTAGTTTAAAAGTAGAAGCTACTTCTTACTTTTTCTTGATGGTGCAAAGACAGACATGTTACCTTTAAAAACTAGGTAAGTGTTGTTGCTATCTTTAAATGAAATACTAAAAACCCAAACATCTGTTACAGGCTACCACATGCTGGTCTTAATCCTCCATGATAAATTATAGTAACCTTAGTTACAAGTAGCCATCCTTGTAGTTTCTTTGGCCACTTTTCTTTAATTGCTTTAAAAAATAAAAGTGAACCAAAAAAACTATCAAAATGTCATGGCTAATGAACTACAGGCCTATAAATAAGAGGTAATCCTAAAACTATCTTAAATGCTTTAGCAACAGTATTTTAAATTTTATTCATTAAAATTTATGAAATCATTTATAAATGATTTTTCCACTTCACAATTATAGCCAAAGACAACTGTGACAATAAAGGGTTAAAGAAAGGAAGTGACTACTGAAGTTAACTGACCCCAAGGTAGGCAAAAGAAAGCCTATACTACTTGGTGCTTTGCATAAACCAGATGTACCTCCACAGGGTAACTTAGGGCAACCACTTCCCTCATGTTAAACAAGTAATAATAACCTGCAGACTTGAATGAACATTAATAAACTCCATCCAAGATTTTAAACTTAACAAAATGTTCTGTTTAGCTACAAGGGGGAAACTGAATTGTGGCAAAAAAATCTGGCCGTTTTAAAATTAAAGACTACTGTTTTCCCAATTGGGATCTAATATCAAATGCAACCTGCTTTTTACTGCTAATCTTAGCAAAACAGTGTTCTTAACTGGCCTGGATGAAATACTTCATTTTCACTGTAATCATCCAACAAAATCGCTTTTCCCAATCTGAAATAGTTTATCTGGATCTCTAGAAACCAGGACAGTAATAATCGTGAAGTCGTAAAAAGATATATAAGTTAGAAGAAATTTTATGCATATAAAGGATACTTTATATGAACACTTACCACCATTGTGCGGCCAATGATGGAATGTTCCCCTGAGAGTGAGATCATAGAATCTTCAATAGACACAGTGGCCTTACCATCTTTGCCAGCAGTCACATTGCCCAAGTCTCCAACATGCCTAACGTTGAAAAAGCATCAGATGGATTAGAACTGATTCCAGTTAACATAAGGACAGTCAGTTCATGAGCTAAATTAAAAGTTGACTGAATCAAGTACACAAGGGTGGGCTAAAATGAGTATATAGCATATATCAAATTTAAGACCCCACTTATCCACTTACACAAAATTTTGGAAACATTTAAAAACAAATAGCTACACATTCTAGACACAACTCTTCAAACAAGGCTTCAAGTTTATAAAGTAATGCTCTGGGAAAAGTCATGGGATGGGGAGTACAACTCTAATTGTACTTTCAGAAGTAAAGTACCAAAGGGAAAACTTTAAGTTACTGAGTTATACCTGTTAATTATTGGCATAGCTAAGAAAGCTATGCCCCTAGCCCTCTGTTATATATATATGTATATATATATATATATATACATATATATGTATATATATGTGTGTGTATATATATACATATATATATATAAATCTTTGTCCTTAAATCTAATATGTTCCTGAAAGGCTTTCAGAAAACACACACACAAATGGAGACTCAACTAGCTTTCAATATCTTATTTTTATCTGCAGAGGCTTCCTATGTTTCACAGTGATGATTTATTTTGCTAGTGGTTGACAGTACTGTTACTCATGACATTTCTTGTATTAGTTCCCTTTGGCACTTGTATTAGTTCTATATTCAATAAATGCTCCAAAACCAAATTGTTTAAGTGTCCCCATTTTGTCAACTCAATAGCCCAGGAAGTGAGCAATTCCAGCACTTCGGGGTGAAGGGTTCCATGGGAGTCAACAACTTCAAAAACAGGTGGAGAACACTCAATTATCTTAGCATATGATTTACAAGTAGTGTACCAAAAGCCACTGTATTATAGTAAGAGCTAAGCATCTTGTTGCTCACCTCTCTTGATCCTTTGGCCCACCATGTTTTTTGGAATGAGGATTAAAGTGAGGACCTGCACTGGTACAGCCTATTTACAAAAAAATAAATAAGTAAGCAGCTAAATTACAAAACAAAACTCCAAATACATTCTAAAAAGAAACATTGCTGAAACCTCCAGTGGAAAAAACACTGACCTGCATCATGACTTTTGGGCTAAGCAACACCTTGGTATAAACACAGGGGCCTGGGCAGTAGAGACATGTTCTAACTACTGTCTGACACTAGTAAAGTTAGCACACCCTTCTCTGGGCTTTGGCTTATTCACTAAAATAAGAGAGCCAGACTTGATCTGCAACAGTTCTACTGTTAAAATCCAATGATTATGATCCTAGTTTTTAAGAAGGCAGCATGCCTTAACTACAAAAACTTTATCTCCCCAGCAACATACTACTAAGCAGCTCTCCTGTCTGTGGGCTTTATACTTGGTGCAGGCAGAACATTAACACAGCACCTTAGTGCAATGGTCAGGGCTGCTACCTCGCACAACTCCAGGGGGTGGCACTCCAACTGCATTCTGTATAAACAGCACTCCCATGTGCCAGAGGATGCCATTCACACAGAACACAACTGCCACAATGCAGAAGGTCCTTTCATGACATGGCTTTCTTCACTCAGCAGCACTCCCTTTCCCTCCCTGGGGGTCCCACACAGGAAGAAAGACAGGCAGGTTATAGGAAGCAGCTAGCAAGTCAAAGCCACAGGGCAAGTACCTCCCAAACCAGAGGCAGTAAAAACCAAGAAGCAACTTAGAGAATGTTAGTAGCTACTGAAATGGATCAAATCTGGTCATTAAATCACTATTTGGAACGAAATTGTGCAACATTAAAAACAGGTTCTAGTAAAATGAACAAAGTTCTCATCATAAGAAGTCCCCATAAACACAAAATTCAGAATGTTACTCAAGTATGGCAAAAGATCACTAAATGCAATTTAACCCATAAACTTTTAACTTGCTTCTAATCCCAGATGATGAAAATGAAACTTATGGGAAAGCACCAACAGTCTGCTATCTTCAGTTTGCATCATACTTTTTTCCCCACTAAGATCTTGTATTGGGGTGTGGAGCTATTCTTATACAGCATAACACAAATAAATGCACACCCTGTGCTTGAAGCAGCACTCTCAAAAACCCAGCTCAAAAACCCCTGGGATCATCACAGAAGGTGAGAAAGGAGCTGTCCTTTTTGTTTTCTATGTCTATTGCATTCTTTAAAAAACCTCTTACAGAATCAAGCCATAATCACTACAAAAAAACATCAACTCCTCCTCTCCTTTTCCACATGAGAGTCAAAGACCAGTGTATAACTAAACTCCTTAAGACTGATGCTGGCCGGCGCAGTGGCTCACGCCTTTAATCCCAGCACTCTGGGAGGCTGAGGAGGGCAGACTGCTCGAGGTCAGGAGTTCAAAATCAGCCTAAGCAAGAGCGAGACCCCATCTCTACTATAAATAGAAAGAAACTGATTGGCCAACTAATACATATAGAAAAAATTATCCAAGCATGGTGGTGAATGCCTGTAGTCCTAGCTACTCGGGAGGCTGAGGCAGAAGGATTGCTTGAGCCCAGGAGTTGGAGGTTGCTGTGAGCTAGGCTGATGCCACGGCACTCACGCTAGCATGGACAACAGAGTGAGACTCTGTCTCTCTTAAAAAAAAAATTGTGGGTTTTAATGTTTAGGGGTTACTCTACTCAGTCCTGTTTATTGTACTAGGTCAAACAAGTATGGGTCACTAGAGCAGCGCAACACCCACCTTGTGTATTATCTCCAAACTGATGGACGTGGAATCCGTGCTGGCCTTCGGTCAATCCTGTAATGTCTCCCGTTACCATCACTGGTCCACCTTCCTTTATTCAAAGAAAAGTGCATGAAGTCTGAGAGAGCAAGTGCTTCTCAACAAAGAAAACAGTTGATTTACTTTTACCACACACAGTAAAGTGAAAAGACCATGGAACTGGGAGTCAAAAAAATCCGTGCGCACACCCCAGGCCCACCACTTTCCAGCCAGTGAGCCTCCAGCAAGCTGCTTAATTGCTCTAGTGTGTCCCTATGGAAAGGGAGATGGTAATTTTGTTCTGGCACTCAAAGCACAGGCACCATTATTAAACGGCATATTAAAAGCACTTCGCAGAGTGGCAAGCATACTAGTACCAAAATGTCAGGTTTATATAATTTGTAGTCTTGACTCTTTTACAGTGAATATGTAATATGAAAATGTACTTATTTACTCAATACTTTTGACTAGGTCATCTTTGTATATGTTGAGTGTATATGTACATATCAAAATTTTTAACCCAAAAGGTCTCATCATACCGTATTTAGACCCTTGTTTTTTCTTTATGCAGCCACTCTTCCACATGGCAAACATACACACTTGCCTTAATAAAAAGGCACCCTGGAAATGTCCAACTGGCTACCCTAGTACCCCTATTCTCTACTGTCTCCTCTGTGGCTGTTGTTTCCATCATAGATATTCTTAATTAGTAGCCAAAAAATATCATATCCCATTGATCCTGGGAGGACCAATTCAAGGTGCTGTTTTCTTAAATCTTTTTAGGCACTGAAACCTAGATAACCTTTCCACTCTAACAAAAAAAAAGGACAATAAAAATACTAAAGCAGTATCGCCATACAGGCAAGGGTGATGGGTAATGGTGCGCAGGTACACACAGAAATCAAGGGAGTTACTATGAAACTACAAAGAGATCTTAGGACTAACATAAGGCTTACACACCATCAATACCACACAGTAATACATGTGCTAGTGTCTTTATTTTTTGCTTGGTTTGTTTTTAAATAGGCAAGGCCAACAGTTACAAGAGTCATTAGCCTTTAAGATTTGCCTTTCCATTGGAAAATACCACTGCTCAAAGGAAATATTCTGGCAATTGATGCCCTTTTCTCTTTTCTTTTTGAGAATAGATACTATGATTCTTTTAAATACTTAATTCTGGAAAACACTCAAATATGAATGTTGTCCCTCAAAATGCTATGTTATAAAGAGCACAAAAACAAAAAGGGCAGGTCCTTTCAAACCTCCATTTAAGGATATTTGCACACTGCAAATACAAGTAGTTGTTCAACAGTAAGCTATGTTCAACCCTACTGGGACCATATTGTTACCTTAAAGGTGTAAACAGACCTGGGAAGCAAAAAACAATGTAAACCACTCCAGCCCCATGCTGTCCTGGGCTAACAAAAGAAAGCTCAGTACCAGTAGATCTCCAATATGAGCAGATCTTCCAATTTTTCAAGAGAAGCTAGGAAAATTGGATTATAGGTGAAAATTTCTGATTTTTAAAAGCTGGCAACTAATCCAAAATTTTAAACACTGAATAGGCCAAACCAAACACAGCCAATTTATTCCATCTACATTTCTGGAAGGCTGTAATGCTTAACTACCTAAGAGTCTATATCAAGTACAAGAGAAACCACCAAAATGAAGTTTGGAGCTTAAAAGAAGGAAACACACAAGTTGCACAGGAACCTGGGTTCCCAATGGCTTCTCAAAGGCCAGAGGGGAGGGGATGCCTCCGAGGCTTCTCAGACTCTCTAGCATGGCTGAATCACATGGAAGAAAGGCAGCAAAACAGTGTCTGACAAATGAAATAGCAAATGTAGTCAAATGCCAAAGTTAACCTTTTCCAGAAAATATGGAGACCAATTAAAGAAAACCTAAATTGAAATATAATTTCTCCCCTCACATAAATTTCATAGACTACTGTTCCTGTTCTCTCACATTTCTGTAAACCATTTTAAAGACTAAATCTCATTCATGTGTTAAATATTCTCTTATGATTTTTATTTATTTATTTTTATTTTTTGAGACAGTCTCGCTTTGTTGCCCAGGCTAGAGTGAGTGTCGTGGCATCAGCCTAGCTCACAGCAACCCCAAACTCCTGGGGCCTCAAGCCATCCTTCTGCCTCAGCCTCCCGAGTAGCTGGGACTACAGGTGCATGCACCACCATGCCCAGCTAATTTTTTTTCTATATATATTAGTTGGCCAATTAATTTCTTTCTATTTATAGTAGAGACCGGGTCTCACTCTTGCTCAGGCTGGTTTCGGACTCCTCACCTCGAGCAATCTGCCCGCCTCGGCCTCCCAGAGTGCTAGGATTACAGGCGTGAGCCACCACGCTCCAGCCAAATTTCTGATTATATTTCTGAATACTTTATTTTACAAGATGTATTCAGTAGTTTGTCTTTGACCATCTCAGCAACCTGCCTACTGGCAGAGCAATGTTAAAGCCACTTTACAGAAAATTTGGTTGAAGAAATGCTCCAATAACAAGAGTTAGCGCCAATTCGATGTAATGGAAAATCCGGGTCTCCTAACTTCCAAATCCAAACCCCACCCACTGTCCTCAAACAGTTGTCAATCCTCGGTACGCCTTAAAATCACTACGGAAACTTAAGAAATAGCAATGTTCAGACTGCACCGGCACAGATTTTGATGTAATTTGTCTGGAGGTGGGCCCCGGTGTATTTTTTTTAAAAGCTCCTCAAAATAAGTGTACTGTGCACCCAGAGTTGAGAATCACTGCCTGGAAAATCCCAAACAAAAGGGTCTGTTAGATCGCTGGCTTTTGGCGCTTGGAAGGAGAAAAACATCTCTGTTCAAGGCCATCTCCTGTGCCCTTGCAGCCTGACCATGACCTAGGACAGGGGCCAGCCAACTTTCCTGTAAAGTGCCACATATGGTCCCTATTACGTATTGTTTTTCACAGACTTTTTAAAAAAAACACAAAAACAGAGACTCGACGCCTAGAGCGCACAAGTTGGAAAAGCAGCCCCAAAGGCATGAGGGATGCGACGATGCCCAGGCGGGCCCCGGCGTACTCGCCACCCCCGATCTCACGGGCGGGAGGAGCCGCGGACTGCGCAACCGGTGACAGCGGGACCCTCGGGAGGAAGAACAGACCAGGCAAAGAAGGACCTCGGTCGCTTCCAACACCTGAAGCGAACACGAGGGCCCGCGGACCCCAAAGGGGCAGGTCGCCCGCCGCCCCCGCCCCCACCCCTCCCCGGCCGCCCCGGCGTTCGACTCCCGCCCTCCCGCCGAGGCCCGGGCGCAGGCCCAGGCCCAGGCCCAGCCCCGCGGCGGCCTCGGTCCCACACCGCCGCGCCCCGCCCGCCGGGTGACTCAGCACTTAGCGGGCGCCGCACCGCCGGGGGGCAAAAGCACCGGGCGAGGCGGGCCGGGCGCGGCGGGGGCGTGACCAGGGCGGCCCGGCCCAGGCCCGGCCAGCCGGCCGCCCGCTGCCGGCACAGGTGCGCGGGCGCGGCCTCGCCACGGGCCTCCGCGCCGGCCCTTGCCTTCTGCTCGAAGTTGATGATGCCCTTCACCGGGCCGTCGCCCTTCAACACGCACACAGCCTTCAACGTCATGACTCGCGGGGCACACGCGCCGGTCCGGGCTCAGAGGGCCAGAAACGACGAAGCACACGCGGCGAGAGACGGCTGCGCAAACCCGTTCAGTGGCGCCGCTGGGATCTTATATGCCAGAGCCGCGCCCCGCCCACCTGGCCCGGAACCAATCGCCGCCCGCGCGCTCAGCTCGCAGCCTGCGGCAGCCTCAGGACGCGAGTGGTCGGAGAGCCGAGGGGCGGGGCCAAGGAGCAGCGCGCCGTCGCCTCCCTCCGCCCCGCCGCGGCGAAAGGTCTAGAAACCCGAAACGGCGAAAAAAACATGCTTTCTCTCCCCAAGGGTGTAGTTGGCGGTTTGCCGTACACGAAATTGAGAAAATGAGGTATATGTGGTACCTCTTGAAGATCTGAAGTCACTTTGTCTAGAAACGTCGTTAGATTTATGACGGACTTTGGCCCTAGAGTCTCATTTGTTATCTAGAAATTGGGACGCAGCAAGATGGATGCTTTTTGTAGGCTTCATTTTTTTTTTTTATCATCCTGCGTTTTGGTTTTTTGATGGTGTGGAAAGTCAGTACATCTCGATACTTGGCCCCACCTTTTCTCCCCTGCCATTTGTTTAGTCCTTAGCACATAGTGTTGCCTGGTTAGCAGAATTCAGTATTCTTTTCATATTTTTTCTGTTTGGCCAGGCCACAACCGCACAGATACCAAAATGGCAACTGATTGGCTTCTACGCGTGTCCCGTGTTTTTGTCTGACTCTGAGGCCACAATCCTCAAGGAGAAGGGAAGAAAGGTTCAATAATTGACGATACCTCCATACAACAGGAGAGAGAAATATCATCTTTCAAGAAAAATATTAATTTCATATTTCATGAAAAATATTCAAAAACATGAAATGAGCAAACAGTACAAACTACTTTTGTGTTTTTTAAAAAATGGGTCAACATATGTTTACTTGTGTGCCCAGAAATGTCTAGAAAGATATATAGGAGACTGGTTACCTTTCAGGAAGGCAAATTAAACTTTCTTCCCTTAGACTTATTTTTTCAGTGAACATGTACCTGTCTGCAACAGTATGCTTAAGTGTTCTCAGAATAAGAAGAGATCTCCTCACCTTCCACCCCCTACCCCCAACACACATTTTTGTTGGGAGAATAGTTTGATAAATCATGGTAGGGTGGAGCAGAATAGAGGGGGGAAGAGTGTTCATCCTCCATCCCCGCAGGTACCCGCAGGGGTACCTGAACAACCACAGAGGTGGCTGAACTGTTGCCTGAGAAAAAGGTGAGGTTCACTTAACCTCCAAGCCACATTAGACTCCCCTAAAGGGCTTGGTAACCCACAGATTGGTGCATTTCTGACCCAGTAGGTCTGGGGAGGGAACCCAGGACTTGCCTTCCTGACTTGTTCCCAAGTAGCTGGACCTGTTGCTGCCAGACTGGGACCTCACTTTGAGGCCTCTGACTTTGCCAGCAGCCTTTTTTTATGCCTAGTGAAGTATGAAAATCAGAGGCAAAAGCTGGACATACTTGACTCAAAAGAGGAAGTGAGGAAGGTATCCTAAAAGGAAACATCAAGCCACAAGAAGACCCAGACAGGGGCCAAGAAGGGACAGACCAAAGGGAGTTAAGCTAAGCCTCCTGGCGGTTTGTTTTGTTTGCTGTGTGGGATTTAAATGCCCCCCCTCCCCATAGCCCTGTGAGTTGATCAGTACAATATGCATTTGCCCCTACTACTCAATAGGTAGGATTTAGTTTTGAGGATGGCAAAATACTGGGGCTTGATTCAAGCCCAATGTGAAACAAGAACAGAAGCTGCTCCTTAGCCTGTGTGGTAACATGGGCCTGTAGTCCCAGCTACTCGGGAGGCTGAGGCAGGAGGATTGTTTGAGCCCAGGAGTTTGAGGTTGCAGTGAGCTATGATGATGCCACTGCACTCTAGCCTGGGTGACACAGCAAGACCCTGTTTCAAAAATTAAAAAAAAAAAAGCTGCTTCAGCCACATTTGGGGGTACACATTTAATTAATTTATTTAGACCCCTGGACTCTAATCATCTATCAAACCATAGATATCAAACCATCTGTAAACACCATTCACATTTATTTGTCATCCTCTAGAAAGTATATATATTAGCAGTTTTGCTTGTTGTACTTGCTAGTATTCTCCATGTAACTGGCATATGCTCAACAGTTGCATAAACGGTATAAATGCTAGCCAAAGGGCCTTTGCCCAAGGCCAAAGTTTCTTTTGAACCCAGGATGTTAGGCAGATTTCAGTTCAGTGTAAACTTGCCAAGGAAGCAGCCCACAGATACAAAGAACTGCCTTGGGACAGTGAGTTACTCCTCTTTTGAGATATTCAGACAAACCCTTTATTGGGACCACGGAAGGGCTTCGTGTCTTGCCAGATTAGAAGAGTTCTGAAGTTCCTTCCAAGGACCATCCTCACACCTGGGCAAGGAAATCTTTGGCCCTGACCCCCATACTTCAGAGGGCTCTGTTCTGTCCTTCTTCAGGCAACATCTCCCATAGGGAAAAGAATCTGTTGAAGCCAAAAAGGCACTCCTACCCAGAACCTCACTTCTTCTAGAACAGGGTTCAGGAATTTATGCAATATTTATCAGTTATTTGTGTCCTCCTAATGCAGAATGTCAAACCTTGACACTGTTGACATTTGGGGCTGGATAATTCCTTGTTGTGCAGGCTGTCCTGTACATTGTGGAACGGTTAGTAACATTCCTGGCCTCTTCCCACTAGATGCCAGTAATACCCTGATCTCCAAATGGCCCCCAGTTGAGTACCACTGTTCTAGAACACTAATTGAATACCCAGGACCCTGGAATTCCCTGCCCAAATAGCCCTGATCCTGTTTTTAGGATCCTGAACAGGCCAAGGAGGGACAGTGCCACCGTGGGTACATAGCTAGGCTTGACGAAAGGCCCCTCCCCTGGGACAAGGAGCCAGGGTGGGGAAAGGAGAAAAGGCTGGGGCAGGCAGCCAGCTTCAGTTGCCACGTTCCTACACAGAACCCAAACAAGTCCAAGAATTCCAGATTTGAACTTGCCTTCCAGGTCTTTATGAAGGTATGTTTGTTAGGGCAGGAAGATAGTTTATTTAGCTGTGTCATTATGATTTATTATATTTAAATATTTAGCATATGGTTCTTGTCACAGCCCTGCAAATGTTGGGGCAGGCCTATTCATTCCAACCTGGACATTGTGTCTTTGGGGTGCTCCTGCTCCATAATCTAATGACAGAGTCCATTTGTTTCAAACCAGGGTGCGACCCTGGAACTCAGTCATGTAATTCTGGAAAAGTTCACTCTTGTACCAGGCCAGTTTCCATTGAGAATCTCCAAGAAGTCAACAGAATCCTAAAGTAGCTTGATTTGTCTTCAACCCTGGAAAATGGCTTAAAGCTAACAGTCAGAATGTGGCACATGTAATCCTGAGAGACTGTCTGATTTTTGTCGGGAATGATGAGGTGCTATAGATGCCTCAGATCAGATGGCAGCAGGTGAAGATGACTAGGCAGCTTTTGATGTGTCATTCCAGCATTCCTGAGGATCAAAATTTGTGTTTGGGGACCTCCATGGTTAAAGTGTGAGCAAAACGGTAGACCAGAAATCCAGTCTTGAATTTCCATTCTTTTCCCCTTCTTCCTCTTCCTCCTTAGGGCTCACTCTTCTATTTTCCCCTTTATCTCAACTTTCTCTAAATTATTTTTTCTTCTGTGACCCAAGGAGATTCCTTTTTATTATCAGCAAATAGGTAGGTTTCTGTTAATCTCCTTTGTATCATGTCACAAGGGATCTTCACCAAGGCCTTTGAGCCACAGTCCTCCCAAAACATCATATTTTTCATATGAATTATAGGAAAATGTCAGAACTAGGTGAAATCCAGAAGAAGCAAAATACAAAGAGGGAGCTGTATTTTAATTCAAAGAAAACAAATCCACTAATAACTAGGGAGCAAATTAGAAAGAGTGAAAGTGGTAATAGCTAGTCCTACCTGCGCATATTTAATGTAAGGAAATAACAAAAACCAAAAGCTGTTACCAATAAAGAAACACCGTAAGGAGAAAGAATCATGAAGTATCTTGAGACATTTTTGAAAGTGGGAGAGGGAAAGATATAAAAATTAATTTAGATTGTTAGTAAGCAGGAGTGAACAGCCTGGGATTAGAAATGTGCAAACTATAATTGAAAGTTCACTGTATGTGTGATCATCTTGGCAATGACCTGTGTCATATGCTGTCTATTTAGCAGTTCCTGCCTGGTTTCTGACTTTCCTCGGGAATCATCTTAGATTTTCTCTCTAGACCTCAGCTGTGAATCATTTTTCTTTTCTTTCTTTCTTCCCTTTTTTTTTCTTTTTTTTCTTAAGGTAGCTCAAGCTGTGTATCAAAGGCACCTGGGCCAGGAGCAGTGCTTGTTAACCTTAGCTGCACAATAGAGTCTCCTGGGGAGTTTCTGGATTTTTCTAAACCACTGTGCTTAGGCCCAACTATAAAATATCAAAATCTTGAAATTGTATAACTTTATTCTGTCAATGCGCATTGCTGTAAGATTAATAAGATCATTAATGGTTGTCATTGGAAATATGTTGCGTATCTGGGCACTTTTCGTCACGTTAGAAAAATAAATTATTCAGTTAAACAGCATAGCCAACTTTCTACTACATGGGGTCAAAAGCAGTTTCTAGGAGTTTCAGCAGGGAGGAAGAATGGTCACTGGCATATCTGATTGGATGGATGGAAGGGGGTTGGGGTGAAACTGAAGGCAAAGAGGCCATTTGGGAGACATGATAAGGATGTTACTAGAAGAAAATAGAGAGATAATGGAAATGGAACTGCAAGCTCCAGTGACTCAGAGGTGCAGGGTGAGAAAGTAGGAAGGCATGGACAGCCCCCAGATTGTTGGCTTTTGGTGACCGGGTGGGTGGATGGTGGTGCTCTTTACCAAGGAAAGCAAGTTAAGGGACAAAGAGCTTAATTCAGGACATGGTGTATCTGGAGAGCCTGATGGACCTAGAATTGCCAAGCTGGAAGTGTTTATGTGGATACAGAATGAGCCTCAGGATCATTCATAAGTCCAGGCTCCACATCAAACATAACATACCTATGTAGCCACGACATAGGTATGTAAAGAAAATGTAATTCTCCATTCCCATTAGGAGACATAGTTTTCTCCATAATCCTTTACCATACTGGGTGGAGAGGAGTTGGGTGAGACGTACACTTGCCAATGATGTTGCCTTAAGTTTATATGGTTTAAACAGTCTCTTTAGAACAGTGATTCACGAACTTTAGTGTACATTGAATCCAGCTGGAAGCCAGGCAAGGTGGCTCATGCCTGTAATCCCAGTACTCTGGAAGGCTGAGGTGGAAGAATTACTTGAGGTCAGGAGTTTGAGACCAGCCTGAGCAAGAGCGAGATCCAGTCTCTACTAAAAATAGAAAAATTATCTGGGAGTAGCGGTGCATGCCTATAGTCCCAGCTACTTAGAAGGCTGAGGCAGGAGGATTGCTTGAGTCCAGGAGTCTGAGGTTGCTGTGAGCTAGGCTGATGCCATAGCACTCTAGCCCAGGCAATAGGTTGAGACTCTGTCTCAAAAAAATAATAATAATAATAATTGTTCTACCTTGGGCCCTGATTTCTTTCTACTCCTGATTTATAGTAAACTTTTATTATCTTTTTATGAGACCTGCCCCTTGATTTGTTAATGAAAAAGGAACTTAGAAAAGTCTTTTTCTCTCAACAAAAGGCTTTCAAAACCATTACTTTATAAGGTAGGGTGACTCTATAATTTATGGTCCAGACTGAGATACTTTTGATAGTAAAATGGATTGGTATTAATAATAATCCCCAAACCACAAGTATTCATTTAATGAGACTCTCCTCAGCAAACC